TAATTGAAGTCAATGTTGTTTTAAACAAGTTTTGTATCCGACAAGTAGGCTTACTCAGATGGGGGTTTTACACTGCACGGTTTTGCTAAATCAGTGTTCGAGTAGTTCGTATTTTAGCAATGTGCTGCAAAATTTTGATGCGTTGCTCCTCTTGCTTCGACGTCATTTCGATAACTGAAGAGCAAATGTCAAAATCAAAATAGAGTTATCATTCTGCACGCAAACAGCTACAAAATGAGGGGTGTTCAGGTTTTTTAAATGCTCAATTAAAATAAATGCGTCAAGTTTAAGTCGTCCTAATTGTGATCGTAAAACCGCACTTTTTTTTAGCAACATTCACAGGAAGTTTGTATTAATCCTAACAATCAAATCTGTGAAGGTTTTAAAATCTTTCATCCTGGTTTTTTTTTTTTGAGAAAAAGTGTTTTGAAATATACTTAGCCGTTTATGAAGGCGAATATGCTCTAAAGAGAATGATAAAAAAAACTTGGAGCTACCAAGAAAAGGAGATTACTTCAATTAACAATATCACCGCTTTCAACATTTTTTTTGTCTAACATTATTTTCTACTGCTTTATGGTAGCTACTCCATGTTTGGGAATAATAAACCTGTACTTTTCCTGTACTCTTGCAAAAATCTGTTATGTGATAATTTACAATATGGAACTTCGGGGCTACCGGAAGGTTTCGGTAGAAAAACTTTCACAAAAAATACCTATGCACTCATCCATGAGTTCATCACCAAAACAATGCCCATATTGTCCAAAACCTTTAGCTGATGATCAAAATTTTCATCCTTCCAAAACTACACGTTTATCAAGCACCTACAATGGCGACCAGCGAATCCAAATTGCGCATGCCGAGTCGTATTTTCAGCAGCAACCAAATTTGAAGCGTTATTGAGATCATTCTTCGCTGCGATGTCTTTTCTCATCGCTGATTTGAGGCTAGGCTGGATAGTGTGACGGCTGGTATGTCTCGTACGTTCTTATCAACACTCAGATTAAGATCTTTCTCAAAGCGGAGTAAATCTTCGTGAGAAATCTTGGATTTTTTTTCCTGACTGCTTCAAATTTGAACCCACTGGTCTTCCTGTGACGTTTGAAAAACTACCTCGACTAGTTCTAATGCTTTTGGCAACAAAGTAATTATTACATACGTCTGCCGATTCGGAGAGATTCTGAAGTTCCCGGTTTTTACTAAATCCATGATGTTTCCCAGGAGAAACCTGCGTCAGACATAATTTGCAATGTTTTAGGAATTTGTTTCTTTTTTATGAAGTGTTTTTTCTTACAAATATCTACACACCCGCACAACTCGACAGTCAAAATGGTTTGAACTTCTTTTTAACATGTTTCTTCTGGATATTTGTGAACCTAAATTTTCATAAACTGTTCACTTTTTTTATACCGGTTAACGGCAATTTTATTAACCAGTCACGATATTTGTTTAGGTTGCTAACTCTCATTTTTACACCCTTCCACTCTGCTCATACCGTTGATCACATTTCATAAGAGAAGCGTAAAAGAGAAAGAGTTATCGTAACAAATTATCCCTATAATACTTGTTTTCTAAGACATGGAGAGGGAGTTATTCCACCAGATAGCTTACGTTCATACGTTTTTCCTTGAACTCCGATGAAATTCTTCAAACTTTCCTGATGTTCTTAGAATTTCTTTGAAGTTTACAGAACGTCCCTGAGGTTGAAATGTTTTTTTCCTGGGATTCTCAGATATTTCTTAAAGTTCACAGTACTTTCTTAATGTTATTAAATTTTCCCTGTGGTTCACAGCCCTAATAAAAAATACCATAAACGAACGAAAACCCAATTGATTGAACTTTTCCACAAATGGTTTGGATGATACCCCGAACACGTCGTTAAGCAAATTAACCATAATATTTTTATTAAGGAGGCTAAAGTTTGTAAAAAAAATCCTGGCATTTAAAGAAATTTTTGCAGAGAATCATTGAAGTTCATATAATGTTGCTATAATTCGTAGAACTTACTAGGAGGACGTTTACCTCCACTGAAACTCAAAAAGCGTTCCTGAAGTTGGCAGAATTTTTCCTGAAGTTTATGTAACTTCTCTGAAGATCGAAGCACATCTTTAAAGTTTGAAGAATTTTCCTTAAGTTTTTAGAACTCCCCTGACGTAATTCAAGGTGAGGGCTACCTAAACTCACTAGGCAAGAGTAGCTAACCTCACGTGAGTTTCATTCCTGTATTATCGGCATTATCGGTTAAACGATTTTCAGAATTAATTTTCGATCTCGCCGTTGAGTCAAACATATCTGTTTATTTTTTTAAAATCCAGGCAAATTTGCGCCCCCCAGGATTGCAAATGCCACCTTCACCTCCTGCTGAGTACGAGACACAACAATTTTGGATACTTAATATCTCCTTTATTGAACTCCGATAAAAATCGTTCGACATTCCTCGTTTTTTTTTACAGAGTCGCTTTTTTGAAGCACAAAAGCAAACTCTTTATTTTCTTATTTTTTTATTTTTCCATTTTTTTTAACACGATACATCTATAAAAAAAAAACAATCGAAACAGGGCGAAAATCAATGCCTACTATGATTACGTGGCTGTCTTGGACAGTCCTACTCATTTCTTTCTCTTTTACTCTTATGAGGGAAGAGACAACCAAATGTTGTTCTAGCAACAAATATTAATTGATTTTGCGCAAAGTCGACATAATCAAAACGGATCTTACTTGAGACACTCAAGTAAGATCCGTTTTGATTATGTCGGCTTTGCGCAAAATCAATTAATATTTGTTGCTAGAACAACATTTTGTTGTCTCTTCCCTCATAAGAGTAAAAGAGACTCTCTTTGACACAAAGAGAACTCTTAAATGCCATTTAGATTAATTCAATCAACGTGTGAACCTTATTTAACTACATTTGTTCAATTCGTAATAGTTTTGTATCGCCATACGCTTTCATAATCGGCTTTGTAAACTTCAAAACACTTTTTCTCAATTTGACTGTTAAGATCAATACTAACATCTTGTGAAGAAAAAACGAAGGTACATTAATGTTGCAAAAACAGTGCCTGCAGACATAGCGTGCACCGTGTAAAGCTTGAGTCATTTAATATCTGGACGCACTGTTTATTGCAGTGCTCCTAGCGATCGGATTGGGAATGTTTTGACAGCAATTTGTTTTGAAATGTGCTAAAAAGTTCGTCACAATTCATTTTGTTTAAAATAAGTTATAGGGTAAATGGATGTAATGCCGACCTAAATTCCCCCCAATTTGGGCCCATACATAAATTCAGCAATCGACTAAATTGTCAGCGACCAGAAATATTCATTAATATCGTCCCAATGACGCGTTCAACTAGATAAAATTGATATATAGTAGATTTTTAGCGATGAGCCCAAGCTTAGATCTATAGGCCAACATTAGAGCCATTTCCTTTACTTGATGGAAGCCACGAACCGAAAATTAATTTTGGACACCCACTTGGAAAATTCGACGTGGTCAGTTTCATAAATCGTGAAGTCGTTGAAATTGGCTAAATCGACCGTGTACAGTGTTCTCAAACGTTTCCGTGAGCGGCATACTATCGATTGGCAGGATCTAAGGAACTAAGGATCGGAAGCTGCATTTGAAGGTGTTGAGAACGGTTAGAGAAAACCCAGGGCTGTCGGATTATGATACCGCCAAGAAATTCAATGCCAGCCAAAGCACCGTCAAAAAGATTCGTCAGCAAGAAGGATTTCGATCTTTTCGGGCCAGTAAGCAACCAAACAGGACACTGAAGCAGTATCTAGTGGTCAAAAGACGTGCTCGGAAGCTGTACAATGAGGTTCCCACAAAGTACGAAGGATGCATCCTCATGGACGACGAAACGTACGTGAAGATGGATTATGGGCAGCTTCCCGGACAAAAGTTCTATAAAGCCACAGGTGATGTTCCTAGCAAGTTCAAATTCGTTTTTGCCGATAAATTTGCAAAAAATCTTATGATCTGGCAAGGTATTTGCAACTACAGACAAAAAACCCACGTTTTCGTGACAAACATACCAAAATGTACAGGTAGGGGCCTGAAAAAACGTATTCTTCCGTACATTAAGGTTCACTATAGACCTGTAAAGTTTTGATCTGATTTGGCAAGGTGCCACTACAGCGGAGAAGTTCTACAGTGGTATCGAGACAACGGGGTAAATTGCTTCGAAAAGGACATCAATCCACCCAACTGAAATATTGGACAAATGTCAAACAGAAGTTGAAGAAGAGTGGAAATGTGTCGCGGGATGCGACAGAGATGAAGAGATGGTGGAACAAAACGGCCGCTCAGAGTGTTCAAAATATGATGAGTCGAAAAAAAGTTCGAGATTTCATCAAAACCAAACCGGAATACTTTTTTTTCACTATTTTTCTTTTAAAGTACAATAAATGACATTAATTTTGAGTACTCAACATGTTTATTTCATAAAGCTAGTTCCGAGATACATACATTTTGCGTCCAGATATTAAATTACTCAAGCTTTCCTCAGAATAACATTGGTGGGACCGACAAAACTTTTAAATCGATCCAGACCATACAAAAATAGCAAAATTGTGAAATTCACCGGGTACCACGAAAGCGGAATTGCAGTGCTGAGATTCTGGATCTTAAAAAAAGGTATCCACAATTTTTCAATATTGAGCACTTCCAGACCAAATAACAAAAACATAATTTTTGACTCCAGGGTATTTTTTTCACTATCGGACAGGTTTCATAATTTTATGAGATGTTGAGTTTATGATTATATGATCGAAAAAAAAAATCAAATGATTCAGGGTGGTTCATTGGTTTGTGGTTATTACATTTTTGATGATTTTTTTTTTAATTTCCCGGACATGCCGTACTTACAATCCATGAAAATATTTCTAAAAATTTTGTTTTTGAATTGAAAGGTTCGACTTAACGGTTAATTTCAAATATCAAATTATAAAATTGCAGTATTCAAACTCACGGGATACATTTTTCCATTCTATTCCATTAGATCGCGTATGAACCCGGTGACCATGTGGGAATTTTCCCGGCCAATCGACCGGACATCGTAGATGGGATAATAAAACGTCTATCCGGTGTGGAAAATCCAGATGAGGTTCTACAACTACAGGTGCTGAAGGAGAAACAAACGCAAAACGGTAATTTCCTGAAGTTGAAAATTATTTCCATCTTATTCAACTGATTCCACTGTACAGGAGTCTACAAATCCTGGGAACCTCATGAGCGTCTTCCTATTTGCTCCCTTCGAACGCTGCTCTCTCGGTTTTTGGACATCACGACGCCCCCATCACGGCAACTGCTAACATTCCTGGCTTCATACTGCGAGAATAAAACGGACGAAGAACGATTGCTGATGCTGGCGAATGTGAGATATATCCTATGACTATTATGAAGATGATTGTAATGACTTCCGTTAAACAATTTCCAGGAACCATCGGTCTACGAAGACTGGCGCTACTGGAAGCTGCCACATCTGCTGGAAGTACTCGAGGAATTCCCTTCCTGCAAACCACCGGCAACGGTCCTGGTGGCACAACTAAACGTCCTACAACCCCGGTTTTATTCGATATCGTCCTCGCCGAGAAAGTACTCCAACGAAATTCACCTAACGGTGGCCATTGTGACCTATCGGGCGGAAGGTATCTGTTTCTCCGTTTGTAGATTACACGAAACTTACATTTGTCTATTTCAGATGGTGAAGGCGCCGAACATTACGGAGTTTGTTCCAACTATCTGGCCAATCTGGAAGGAGAAGACAAGATTTATTTGTTTGTGAGGAGCGCCTCGTCTTTCCACATGTCCAAGGATCCGAGTAAGCCGGTGATCCTGATCGGACCTGGGACCGGGATTGCACCGTTCCGTTCGTTCTGGCAGGAGTGGAGTACCATCAAGATGGAGCTACCGGACACGAAGGTTAGTTATTCCATTTGAGTTACGACAGAATTGGCATAATTGAAATGGCTTTGTTGCAGATTCCAAAGGTGTGGCTCTTCTTCGGTTGTCGAACGAAGAAAGTTGATCTCTACCGTGATGAAAAGGAGGAGATGCTTCGGAGCGGGATTCTGGACAGAGTTTTCCTGGCACTCTCTCGGGAAGAAAACGTTCCAAAGGTAAGCACTCTTGGCCCAAATGTATACGCTATAATCTCAGCACACCTCCCTCCTCTTCCAGACCTACGTCCAGGACCTGGCCCTCAAGGAGTCCGATTCAATAATCGATCTGATTTGGAACGAGAAGGCACATATTTATGTGTGTGGCGATGTCACGATGGCAGAGCACGTGTACCAGACGCTGAGGCGCATTCTTGCCACCAAGCTGAACAAAACCGAATCCGAGATGGAGAAATACATGCTGTCACTGCGGGTAAGTCGTGTCGATCAATCGTCCATCATCAACTCACCCAACCCAGTCTAGTTGGAATTTTCAATTAAAATTTAAACACAAACACGTGTATCTGTACGCGAGGAGGGTTTACGTTTTGCTGCGGCCGCCGCTCTTGTTGTTATCGTGCTCGTAAATAAAAAAAAGCGGTGCAGTGTGTCGAATCGAAGCATCATATCGATTCGATTTACGAGTTCCGACAGGGCCTAGTGATGACGGTGTATTGATTAATGGGAGCACGTCAGTCGGAAGTAACGTGACAATTGTCCGGCAATTATGAACCGGCGTCGCTGCCCAAGCTACGGTCACGTGCAAAGAGCAAGATGGTTGTGCATATGTCCTTGCGTCGAACGGCGGCAGAGGCAGGGGTGGCTGGTTCTGAGGGCAGGGGATGATGACGAAAACGCAAGAGCGAAGGTGTCATCAAGTAATTTTATGCGTTCGATTGTGTTCCATTCATACGCGTTGAAGAAACGCTAATCAGAGGTGGATGCGGTGGTTTTGAACTGATGTGCTGGAATGTAGATTTGAAGATGTGATGCCAAGCTGCTTTAATTCAGGTTTCGAAGCAATTGGTTTTTAACTGCGCTTTATGCTCTTGGATTAAACCCATGATATTCTGCTCACTAAGCAAAAACAATCCCTCCAGGCTCATCGAGCATCTGAAAATCACAACACTCCACGATAAAGTATGATTAAGTTTTTGCTTGGTATGTAATGAACAACAGAAATAAGCGATAATTCATATAGTTTCAGTGGTTGATGACTAATTTTAAATATACGAATGGCACTGCCTACGGCGACTAAAAGCTGACTAAAAGTAAATTGGTACGCCCCTCGCGCGCCACTAGCACGCCTCTAGTGTTGGGAATCGAAAATCTTTGACAGTGGTTTGTTTACACTTCTATAGAGAACACCTTGTGCAAGTTTGATCAAAGTAGTCGATCGCGTTCAGAAATAACGTCAAATGGAACTCGAAAGAAGAAAAAACATTGTGCACAAACACCTGGAAAATCCGGAGTGGTCCGGTTCCAAGCTGGCTAAAGTGCAGAAGATGCCGAACACAACAGTTTGCCTAGTGCTCAAAACCTACAAGGAAACCCTGAGTGTGGAAAGGAATCAGCGGACCTACGAAAAAAGTGGAACCAGGGCTCGTCAGCTGCGCAGCAAGGTGTTAAGGTGCGTTAAAGTCAACCCCGGTCTTTCGATCCGAGATGTGGCCAGAAGGTACAACGCCAACTTTCAAGCGGTACGGAACATCCTTACCAGAGAATGATACAAGTCGTATAAAACCAGTACACATCCGAACCGGCACATGAAGCAGAATCCCGTGGCAAAAAAAGCGTGCAAGGCTCATGTTTTGACGAAACACAAGGGCTGCACTTTGATCGATGACGAAACATACGTCAAACTCGATTTTAAGCAGCTTCCCGTTCAAAAGTTTTACATCGCGACTGGACGTGGCGATGTGCCGGGAAGATCCAAATTCGTGTTTGCCGACAAGTTCGCGAAGAAGCCCACGATTTGGCAAGCGATTTGCAGTTGTGGCCTGGAAACAGAACCATTCGTCACATCCTGGACGATGACATCCCAAGTTTACATCGAAGAATGCCTGAAAAAGCGTGTATTGCTGTTCATCCGCAAGCATAGGGGCAAAGTCATCTTTTGGCCCGATTTGGCCAGCTGCCACTACTCCAAGGTGGTTCTGAAGTAGTATGCTGCCAACAAGATCGATTTTGTCCTCAAGCTAATGAATTCTCCGAATTACCCGGAATTTCGACCAATCGTAAAATACTGGGCAATTTAGCAACTTCGACGAAGCGGCGGGGCAGTCAAAGAAATCCAGCAAATGCGGGCAAAATGAAAGAAATGGGCTGATTCCGTGTCCGTTTCCACTGTGAGGGCGTTGATGGGCTCCATCAAGAGGAAGGTTCGAGATTTCGTTCGAACTGGAGAAATGTAACCATCTGATGCTGTAACTTTGTAATTCTAATAAAAGTACTGTAAAGCAACCATTAATAGACTTTTTAAACTGATTGAATCACGAATTGCAGGTCTTTTTGTGCGTACCAATTTCCTTTCAGTTAGCCTTTATGATGGCAAATCCGGAGAGATTTGAGATTTGGGCGTAATTGCTTTTGTAAACAAACACGGTAATTGCTGATTTCTTTTGAATTGAAGCTCAATCTGATAAACAAACTACACCAAATGATAGAGGAATCATTCCTCTACCTCATAGTGTTATTAGTTTTCGATATTTAGCTGTTATTCGCGAGAAATCGGCGATTGACGTGTTTGTTTACAAATGCAATTACGCCCAAATCTCAAATCACTCCGGAAATACGACGGCGCCTACGACTCGAAAACAGCGAACTTGAAACTTACCATTTGTCTAGGATATAACACATTTGTCCGGCACCTCCTGGTTCTTCATGTCCGCTATCGTTTTTGAGAATTGTTCCGAAAATAATCGTACACTGGACTTCCATCGAGCCGACTATGTTGCGATTAGAGCTGCTATTTCCGGTATCGATTGGCGACCTTTAGAATTAGCTGGATGTGTTGATGATGCCGTTGAATATTTCAGTCAAATGATTTGGGATATCATGGCTGAATTTGTACCTATTGCCCGCCCTGCACCAAAGCCACCGTGGTCTAACGGTCACTTACGTCAACTGAAACGGTATAGGGCTAAACCGCTACGAAGATACTGCCAAAATCGTTCGTACATTACGAAGCAGGAGTTCAACCGCACAAGTAACGACTATAGATTATGCAACAGATTCCTGTAACGACGATATGTCTTCCGTACGCAATCATTTCTTTGCAGAAGTCCAAAGCGTTTCTGGCCGTTTGTCTTGGTGAGCAAACCGCTGAATCTGAACCGGAGAAATGCCGCCTTTTTGCTCAACATTTCATGAGTTCGTTCAATGAATCTTCGGCCTCACCAAATCAAGTCACGATTGCTATAAGCGATTCTCCAACAAATGCATTTGAGCTCCATCCGTTTCACACATCAGTGAACATACCGTCAATCTAGCTCTTCAAAGGTTGAAACTCACGTTTGCTGTCGGGCCAGACGGCATTTCTGCGTCCATTCTGAAGCTGTGTTCGGAGTCGTTGCTCACTCCTTTGGTGAAGTTATTTAATCTGTCACTACAGGAGAGTAAATTTCCTGAGGCGTGGAAAATTTCGTATTTGTTCCCCGTCCACAAGAAAGCTCCTTATCCTGGTCCGACATCCTTCAGGATTGCACCTGCATCACAATGTTACGCCAATTCACTCGGTCAGTGGCTGCTTGTCTCCAATTTCTTGACCGTCCCACACTTCCAAGATCCTGCTCCACTTGTGTAACCACCTTGATCGCTGTGCTTCTCTTCATCTTGTACCGGCCGGACCTAACACAATTTTTGCGGGATTGTTGTCCGGCATTCTTAAAACGTGTCCCGCCCATCTTACCCGTCCAGCTTTCGCAACTCTCTGGATACAAGGTTCGCCATAGAGTTGCGCCAGCTCGTGGTTCATCCTTCGCCTCTATACACCGTTCTCACATACCCCGCCAAAGATGGTCCTAAGCACTCGTCGTTCAAAAACACCCAGTGCTTGCAGGTCCTCCTCGAGCATCGTCCACGTCTTGTGCCCGTAGAGAACTACCGATCTTATCAGCGTCTTGTACATGGTTCATTTAGTACGGAGGTGAAGTTTACCCGACCCCAGGGTCTTGTGGAGTCCGTAGTAAGCACGACTTCCGGCAATAATACACCGACGAATTTCTCTGCCTCAGTTGTTATCCGACGTCACCAATGATCCGAGGTACACAAATTCATCCACCACCTAGAACTCATCTCCGTCGATTGTTACGCTTCTGCCTATGCGAGCCCTATCCCGCTCGGTTCATCCAGCTAACAGATACTTTGTCTTCGACGTATTCACCATTAATCCAACCTTCTCTGCTTCACGTTTCAACCTGGTGTACTGCTCCGCCACGGCCTGAAACGTTCTTCCGACAATGTCCACGTCGTCAGCGAAGCAGATGAACTGGCTGGACTTATTGAAGATCGTGCCCCGCATGTTAAAGCCCGCACGTTTCATAACACCTTCTAGCGCAATGTTGAACAGGAGACAGGAAAGACCATCGCCTTGTCGAAGTCCTTTGCGAGTTTCAAACGAGTCCGATAACGCACCCGATATCTTCACGGAGCACTGTACACCATCCATCGTAGCCCTCATTAGTCTGGTCAGCTTTCCGGGAAAATTGTTCTCGTCCATAATCTTCCATAGCTCTTCACGGTCAATAGTATCATAAGCGGCCTTGCAATCTATGAATAGGTGGTGCGTAGGAACTTGATATTCATGACACTTTTGCAGGATCTGCCGCAACGTAAAGATTTGGTGCGTGATCTGGGAAAGCACTTTGCAGGCCGCGTTAAGAATAGTGATCGCTCGATAGTTCTCAAATTCTAGTTTGTCGCCTTTTTTATATACTGGGCATGATACCCGATCTTCCCTATGGTTACTCGTACCACAGCCGGCACCGCGGGGAGGTAGGGATAGGAGTTACTGGACAAGAGGCTAAGGACCGCTAGTGGGGTCTATTTTATACCTGCAGATATGCGAAGTATCAATGGTACGCATTGTCCAGCCGTTTACCAGGCCACAAGAAAGATGATAAAAGGAATTACAGAGGCATCACATCACTATCTGTTGCTATTTGTTGCTGCAAAGTATTCGAGATCATCATCAATAAGGCGCTCTGCAGCTCTTGTAAAAACTACATCTCCACGGATCTTCTACCCAAAACGGTTAGTTACAACCAATTTGACCGAATTCGTGTCGCTCTGCGTTCGGACAATGGACTCTGGCGGACAAATCGACGCGGTTTACACTGATCTCAAGGCTGCATTTTACCGAGTAGACCTCAACATTCTTTTGAGCAAGCTTGAGAAACCCGGAGTGTCTGGATCCTTCATCTCGTGGTTCAT